AAAATAAAACTGAAAATATTTTTGTGAAATGAAATCTTTGTCCTGAAAAAATAAAAAGAGAGGAGAACAAATGCTAAACATTCTCTAGGGAGTTGTTCTTCCTTGAAAGTAAGGTAAATTTTGTCTACTTTCAGAAGTTGGTAATCTCAATTCATTAAAGTAAGAGAATGTATAAATATTTCTGGTGGTATTGGGTGAATGTGCACAGTATCTGCTCAAACCCTTATCGTCCAGGAAATTTACAATATCCGTTGGAGCATCCATGGTAGATCATGTATCTCGTGGAAAAAAAAAAACACCACCACTGGCAAAACAGTGCTTTACAGTGTATAAAATTCAAAAATGTTCTCTTACACCTCAGTAAGTGAACCGTTCTCTGAGGGTTCAGTTTGTTGCCAGCTCCCTGAAAAGTGTTGTGTAACTTCTGAAAGAGGTCTCTAATATGTAAAAAAGTAGGCAGAAAGAGGGAACGAATTTTTTAAACTCAGAGATAGACATTATGCAAATGTGTGTGTCTATATATTAATGACTGGGGATATCATAACAATGACATATGCTCATATGCATTTTCCATCAAACTAACAAATTTTGACAAATATATTAACCATTCTTTAAGCATCTTGAAAAATGTCGAAATATGTTATTCTTTCAGAATAAAATGTATAATTTTAGAATTCAGTACTTAGAAACAGTCCTATTGTGAAAAAGTTCTTTCATATTTCCCCTGATACCGGAACAGAAGATGGCTTTTGTCTCATATTGCCCTGGCAAATTTTAAATTGGACATCCAAAACCAGATATTTCTTATCAGGTGAGAAGTGTAAATTTAAGACACTGTATAGAAGTGAAAAAAGCATTTCAAAATTATCTATCCTAAAAAAAAAATAAAAATGTGAAGAACAAAGACAGCAATGAACTGAGTTACGTAGCATCTGAACTGCAATATAAAAACAACTCCAGATAAAAAAAGTATTTGGCTGCTTAGGTTTTAATAAAAATTGCAACATTTTTCTGGACGGAATAAGTTGTAAACTGTCCTGTTTTCTTTAAAAAGTCTTCATAAGAGCAATTCCCAAACAAACAAAGAGGCATCTTCCCTGGGTTTGCTCTCTAAAATTACAGGAAATGATTACAACCTAATGCTTTTTCTTTGTATAGCAAAGAAATTCTATTGCAGCTCTTGTTCTGTCTTTCATACATGCGTACAGACACTGTATCATTTTGTTGGCTATTCTCTCGTTCACACTCTTAAGCCTTTACTATCTCTAAATAGTACTTTGTTAGTATATAAAAAACCTTAAATAGCAGCAAAGAATCTAGTGTAGCTTAAGAATCTAGTCAGTAGGGAAATAGGTATCATCTTCTGTCTTTTCCATTTTTTTCTTTAATATGAAAATTGTAAACACTAACAGAATCCAGATGATCGAGGCAACTGTTAGGTTCTGCTGGACTGCATATTTGGTATAGCCTTGTAGCTGTCTCCTGACCTACACTTCCCTGAGGGATTTAAACTCTGCAGTACAAAGGTGTATATTCAAAGGCTGGACCTTTAACACTGTGGATTGTTACCAAGTAAAGGTACAAGTTCAGGCCTAAGAGAAAAAAGCTTAACTGATCATATGATCAATTATCTGGACTGACACTTTAATATCAGTTTCCTCCACTGAAGCCATAGAATATTATTGATCTGAATCACACATATGCTGGAAGTGTACATTGCTGCAGTCTATACGGGTAGGTAGGGACAAATTACGAAATCTTATCCTTGTGCAAAGTCTTCTAGATTTCTGTCAAAGTACGCAGATATAAGAGTTAATATTTGAAGATCCAATTTGCTGCTGTAGAGTCTTTTGATCTCGTAGCTCTACTGATAATAATGGGGTAGGGGAACATGCATTCAATATTGTATTGGGGCTCCAAGAGCAGAATTCTGTTCTGGGCTATGAAAACAAGGGAAGAAAATGTCTACTGAGGTTTTTGTGAAATGAAACCTTTGTCCTGAAGAAAAAAAAAGGAGATGATGACAGGATCGCAAGATGACTGCAAGAGAAATACAGATTTGCAGTGACAGATACAGCTAGCACTATCACTTTCAATATGACATCAAGTTTTGGGGTTTTATCATTCTGCAAAACAGTACTGAATAATCTCTTAAGGCAATTTTTTCTCTTTAAAAAACATAACAGAACAAACAAAAAACTAAAACTGTCGAAGAATGCCAGCCTTTATAGAACTGTTAAAGCCAGAAGTAAAAATAGCCACTATCATATTTTAAGAGCATTCTGATTCTTTTTAACATCTGATACTCAAAATCAGGAGTTTTCAAAAGTGCAAACTTGTCACAGACATAAGAAAAGCATCTTCTGCCCATCATCTCTTAGCTATTTCCGAGAATAGAAAGCAACAGAAATTCAATTTCTGAATAGGAATATATGATAAATACTAAAGTTGTAAACTCTAGAAAACTGGGTATTGTGAACACATTTTGTGTTTCACTGACATTGTACATATAGATTCTGTCACAAAAAAAAAAGGTCTCAGTCAGGGAGTATTTAAACAATACAACCAAAGGGTCATGTGCTGAGCAAAATAGTGTCAATGCCTTTGGTTTTAAGATAAATTTCTTGTTGCGATTTGAGCTAAATTGTCATTGTGTTAATTATACAGGCAAACTAGAGATTGTATTTCTGGAGTCTCTGTACATGTAGAAGTTTGATGCCAGATGCTACGGGAAGTGCATACTTACTTTTTGTATCTCCTTAGGTGAGATAAAAATGTAATGCACAACAAACCTTTACCTTAAAGGACACTTTTTCCAGCTCCTTCCCCTACTCCCCCTGCCATATCCAAGTTATGGTAGTCTAAACACTGCCTTCTGCTGCTGGTGGTGAAGTCATTGCTCACTGCTCTTGGGGAAGTAACAAGAGAGACGCAAATACTTACTGCTTCATACTTATACCCATAAGTGTGACGCTGCTGCATTAGAGATTTATGAAACTTTATAACTTATGTTGACACTGTATTTGGTCTGTCTGAGATGCAGTCCTTAAAGCATAACATAGCGTTTTCCACTAGTAATAAACACATACAATACAGATCTAAAATAAAATATGTTCAAAACCATAAAATACCTGCTACATGAAGGACATGGAGCTACTGGAACGAGTCCAGAGGAGGGCCACAAAGATTATCCAAGGGCTGGAGCACCTCTGCTATGAAGACAGGCTGAGAGAGTTGGGGCTGTTCAGCCTGGAGAAGAGAAGGCTCCGGAGTGATCTTATAGCAGCTTTCCAGTACCTAAAGGGGGCCTACAGGAAAGCTATAGAGGGACTCTTTATAAGGGCATGTAGTGATAGGACAAGGGGCAATGGATTTAAACTGAAAGAGGGCAGATTTAGGTTAGATATAAGAAAGAAATTCTTTACATTGAGGGTGATGAGATACTGGAACAGGTTGCCCAGAGAAGTTGTGGATGCCCCATCCCTGGAGGTGTTCAAGGCCAGGTTGGATGAGGCTTTGGGAAACATGGTGTAGTGGAGGATTTCCCTGCCCATGGCAGGGTGGTTGGAACTAGTTGATCTTTGAGGTCCCTTCCAACCCTAACCATTCTATGATTCTATGATTCTACATCACGAACCATCATCTCCCACATGAGACCACAGTCCAATACTCAATGAGCTTATTTGAATCTCAGACTCAAACGCAAAAATACACAACAGTACATTTTCTTTATTTCAGGAACAACTCTCTGGGCTCTGCTATAATGTTCCATCATGATTTGGGTGGAATTGATATATTAATCTGGGAAAGGACTGGAGTCATCACTTAAGGAATATTTTTAATATATGAGCTAGTCCTCCAAATATTATTAGTTTTTTTAATATTGATAGATATTGGACTGATCTCTTTTGGAACCAAAATATGAGGGCCATGAATCTAGTCTGAACACATAGCAGGCATTGATTTTTTTTTTTTTTCAGCTATAAGCATAGTTAAACATTGGAACAGATTCTTTAGGAAGATTATACAGTCTCCTTTCCTGAAAGGTTATAAAAACAGATTAAAAATACCTGAAAAGAATAGCTTAAACATCACTGTATGTGCCATATGTACCAATGATGGAGTTAATGTTTCTCAGTCATCACACATGAGTAGTTACCTGTGAGATCTCAGAAAGCATTCCATGGCACTACTGCAAAAATGTAACTTTAACATGTAAAGTCAACCCTCCCACACTTCCGCACAGACATACAAACAAAAGCGCACAATACACACATATACAAAAGCTCAAGAGCAAAACTACAGACAAGCATTTAAAGTTTACTTTCATTTTCGTCAGGTTGCAAAATGGAAACCATGAGGCAATAATCAGCAAATAGCAAGGCTGATTCTGGGTTTTTTTGGAAAGGCTGGATGGTTCTTTGATTCAAGAAATGTTCAGAAACACTTGTCTGGGTGACTCCGAAGGCCCTTTTCCTTCTGGACCTGTCTGCAATGAAGTTCTGATTGTACTTTTTAGGCACACTTTGTTTCGAAGGGCATGAAGAGATAAACTATCATTCAGGAAGCATTGGAGGACCTGATCTTGATATCCTATGTGTAAAAGTAGGCACGAATTCAACCTTTTATGCTCCTTAAATTCTTAATTTCTCCTTTAAGCAATAACTGGCTATAACCTTAACAGTACCCAATCTATGTGCTATTCCTCTAAATATGGACCAAATTGCCAACACCTTCATTAATCTACCTTTAAAAAACATTCCTGAATGTATGAAGTATAAATGTTAAAATAAAATGGAATATAAGAATAAAATGCAATATCTGATTATTCATAATTTGCAGTATGTTGTGTACACCATGTCCTTGATATCAGCCAGTTCAGTGATGACAGATTACAGTTTTCCCCTCTTGTCAAGAAACACATGGAAATTGTCCTGTTCAATGAGACATTCCAGACAAAACAGACACACATTTCTTTGAGAGTTATGCGTTTGATTTACCTTCATTGTCCCTTAGAGTAAAGTTGGGATTCAAAGAAAGCCCTTCATCAAGGGAAAAATGGAATCTTGCCCCATTTGCAGAGTTATCTTTGTCAGTTGCAGTGATAGTCTGAATTACCTGAAATAAAAATTAACAATGAATGTACTGAAATTTGAACTTGACCCAAATAGTATCTGACCTCAGCAGCATGCTAAAAATTAGCTTATTTTAATTTTCTATTTGACTGCTGCTAAACTCAACTGACAAAATGACTGGGCCATTAGCTCGATTTCTCTAGCATGAAATATTTTAGAAATCACACTTCAGAGCTAGACAAAAGCATCTTTCTGACATTCTAATATGGCCAGGACTGGGTACAGAAATTTTCCTCATCTGCTTTGCTTCCTGGTGACTTTCAGAATTACAGTTTCAGCTAAACATCTGTTTTTAAAAAGCCAAAATTCAGGTTGAAATGAGATGATCAATGCAGAGCATCATCTGTTTGTCATCGCAATAATTAGATGCACTTAAATATTGGTTAGGAAAAATAATTTTTTAACCAAAATGACAGGTGTCTAATACCAGCTCTCTGTTTAAAATTTCTGTAAAAAATCAGTTTTAAATTGCTACAGAACAGAACAGGAAGAACAGCAGTCACTCCTGGTTTTAGTTTGGTTTGTCCAAAAGGAACAGAATTAGATGTAGCAACTACATACGGGAGAGGCATTTCTGAGAGGTAGGACCTTTGCCTTTGAAAGCCCTTGTGTTTTTTAAAATTTACTTTCAACTAGAACTGAGCTAAGCTTTTGGAATATACGACCAAGCAATATTTCTCCCTCTGCTTTTATTTTCATGCTGGGCCTGGAAGTTCAAGTGCTAAAGTAGAATTTAATAAAAGTTATTCTTGTGATACAGGCAGTGAAGCTCACACAGACTGCTGCACAGAGCTGATAGATATCCCGAGGGAAATGCAAAAGGGGGAGGGAAAGTGCTCTTTTCACGAGAATTTTTCTTTTCAGTGTTCAGCTATTCTGTCTGGACTGAATCTGAAGCATAAACAGTGTGGGCTCAAGTGGTTTGATCTGTTTTAAAATGAAAAGACAGCACACAGTTCTCTCACTACATTAATATAAGAGAAGTAAAACAAATACATTTTAAAGCCAATAGAGTGCAATTTCTATTCCATTGACTATATGAAATATAGTACATTATATTGAATATACACACCCAAGACAATTAACAATATTGATGATAATTGCTGAGAATATTTTGAAAGTTTGTTGTAATACTTTTTTGGTGAACCATAGTAGAATAAGATAGATCTGAAACATTTATAATGATACAATTACCAAAGTCATGGCAATATTGGTGAAAACGCTTGGCAAAATCTAATTGTTCTCTATGGAATTTTGCAAAAGTGACATATTTTTTATTGAAACAACTGCCATGTAAAAACATAAATATAAGATTATCATAGACAGATATATTTAGTTAATATTGTTGAAATGGTATGAGGCAAAGCAAGACACACAAAAAAAGTTGATGGAATAATATTTTCAAGATAATCAGTTTCTGTTATTACTCAAATAGAAAAAAGTTAAATACCATACATAGCTGTAAAATTTCAGACAAGACTTTAAAAAAAAATTAAATATTTTTTATAAATTTTGAGTGCTTATATAAGTCATTTTGGCATGCACCTTCAGCTTTTATTTGACAGCATAGTAGATAAACTTTTGTCCTGTCGCCCTCTCTTACATAAAACATTCAGTGACATTTTACAAAATCTCACTTCAAGAACATGCCATGTTGAAAAAAAACCCTACCTTTGACCAAGACCTCAGTGTCACAAGTCTAGTATAAAATTTATTTGTTATTAAGACTAATTCTAAAACTCCACAAAATAAATTGTTTATATTCCTTGATTTCACACATGGAAATTCAAGTATTCGCTGAATTCACTAACGTATATAAAAGGTATAGCACCAGATCATATAGAAAACATGCTTTTCCATGTGAAAAATAGACATTGTATGTGTAGTTGGACAGGTCAAATATTTTTG